GACCCGGCCACTCTGGGGGTCCCCTCCTCTCCCTCTCAGACCTGACCACTCTGGGGGTCCCCTCCCTCACGCCGCTGTCGCGGTACCTCTGGAGGTCTCCTCTCCACAGTCCAATTCTCTTCCGGAACTCCCTTCACTCAGGTCCTCTTCGAATTTGCTCGGCCCGGGGTCCCCGCGTCCCGCAGCTCCCCGAGTCACTGTCCCGCGCCCTGGGGCTCTCACCTCAGACCTTGCTGTCACTTCCCGGGGCCCGGCGTCGCCTCCACCGCTTCCTCTCTTCACACTTGTTCCCGAATCGCTCCAGGGGCGGCTGCTACACCCCCGACCCGGGCAGATCCCCGGCTCTGGCGACTGAGTGCCCACGGTCCCCGCGTCGCGTCCCACTGTCCACGCAGGAGCCGGCTCCCCGCGCCGCCCCGACCCTTCGCTGGCCGCGGCCGCCGCTGCTGCTGCTGTCCGAGGTGCGGCTCCTGCCAGGGGTGGCCAATCGCACCCGACAGCGCCGAGCGCACTCCGCCCCCACTGTCTCGGGACGCCCGCCCCCTGCCCCTGGCCACTCCCTCTGCTCCGCTCCGATAGGCTCTCTACTGACCTCCCCTGATCGCAGGGCAATGGGCAGAGGCCGGATATAGGTGTTTGACTGGGAGCGCCTGTGCCCCCCGAGCGGTCGATGGAACCCGAGGATTGGCCGATCGGGAGGTGGGCGTGCCCGTGCAGGGGGCGGAGCTACCTCGGACGCGGAAGAGCGGGCGGCCGGAGTTGACTCGGGGCCCGCCTCGGGGTGCGGCCGCTAGTGTTTGCTGGGCTGCGGGGTCAGAGTTCCCGGCACCCCACCCCACGCGGCTCGCTTTTGGGGAGAAACCTCCCCGAGACGAAGGTCCTGACGGAGCCTTCTGGGCGGGGAAGGGGAAGCGGACCAGCCAGCATTGGCTCAACTGCTTCTGACCGATTCTGCCGTGAACTCACTGGGCGTTGACTCACCCAGGACTTGGAAAGGACATTTCCTGGATTGTTGGCTGGGGAGTTGTTGCCTTTCCGTGCGTGGCGTCCACACCCTCGGGGTGGACAGGGGACCCGTCGGTGGCCGTCCCCCACCCACCTACCCACCCAAGAGCCTTAGAACTGTTCGGAACCTCAGTCGGGGCCCGGAGCCTCGGGAGGGTCAGCAGGGCCATTCTCAGAGCCCCAGGTTCCAGTGCTTTTTTTGGGGGGGTAGCCGCAAGGCCAAAGGTTCCCAAACTGGGACCTTCCCGGGTCGGGGCACAAAGTGCAGGGTGCTACTTAGAGTTATTTTATTTATTTTGGTGACAGTCTGTTTCTGATAACAGCACAGTGGGGGAAATCGACTCAAAACTTTTCACATCCTTAAACCATGCTCTTTTCTCCTCTTTCCTGCCTGTTCCTCCCCCTCCCATATTAGCTCTGATAGACTCTTTGTAACAGCTACAAGTTTAACTTTCTGCTAGCTGAGTGTTTCATAGGCGAAGGGAGCCCATCTAGACAGCACTGCTGCTGTCTCAGCGGGACTCATTCCTTCGGATTTTGTTCAACAGCAGAAACCAAAAAACTGCACTTGCCTCCCCGAAACTCCCAAGTTAGCTTCTGGACATTTGACTGTGAAACTTTGGGTTTTGTTTTTCATTCCGATCCCAGGCCTTGTAGATCTCACACACGGCCAAGCATGAACTCCCTCCAGGTCCTGCAGACACGATCTGTGTCTCCAACAGTAAATCCATGGCCCCTAGCATTAACAAATCATCCCCTCTGAGCAGTGAAGATTCCTGTGTCCGGTGTCCACATTTCCAGGTTTAATTCTCGCTGCAGGATCCTCCTCCTTCCAGTTCCAGCTCCCTGCTCTTCCCGGCCCTGGGAGGCAGCAACCATGGGGAGTGAGCCAGTCCCCTGGAACACTTCACCTCTTAGAGCTGTACCTGTTACAATGAATAATGCTCCCCTTTAAAGTGCTGCGGAGCTGGAGCCTAGTGGCTTAAGTCCTCACCTTGGACGCACCCAGATCCCATATGGGCACCCGGCTCTAATCTCGGCAGCCCTACTTCCCTCACAGCTCCCTTCTTGTGGCCTGGGAAAGCAGTCGAAGGCCCAAAGCCTTGGGACCCTGCAGTCAAGTGGAGGACCTAGAGGAAGTTCCTGGCTTTGGAACAGCTCGGCTTCTGCCGCTGCCGGCCATTTGGGGAGTGAATCAGCATATAGGAGATCTTCCTCTCTGTCTCTCCTCTGTATATCTGATTTTGCAATGAAAATAGATATATCTAAAAAAAATTTGGGGGGAGTCTTAAAATTTAGAAAGTGTTGGGGTATGTGGGCATGGCAGTGGGGTGGGGGGCTGGAGGGCCACCTTGCATGGAAGCTTCACTTCTGAGGAGGAGGTGGCCAAGAGGTCAGCCGGGAAGGGATGCAGAGTCTCAGGGACCTTGAGTTTTACTCTACAAGTTGAGGAAGACGACGGCCACAGAGAACTTTCATTCAATCCTATTTTTTTCCTTAGGAATAAGTAATCTGGAAAGAGGAGGTGAGCTTTCAGCATCAGAGTTCCCTTGTGTGAAAGAAGAAATGCATGACCAGGAAGAGAGAAATCAAACCTAAAATAAAGACCCCAGCATCTTGAATCCGTTTAACCATAACAGCGATGTTTGGAGCGGTGAGTTCATTGTCCCGGTGAACTCTGCTGTCTCGTGCCGAAGCCTTTTCTGCTGTGTGGATTCCTGGGGCCGCGAGCAACTGCAGCTGCTCAGAATGATGGTAGACAGAACATGCAGATGTGACCCAGCAGCACAAAAAAATAGATAAATGAAAATGACATCATCTTCTGGATAAGAGGAAGTTCTAGAGCTTAAATACAGATGGCAGAAGTATGGTCGGCTTCCACACTTCCTGTTTGGAAGGCCCCCAAAACCTCTGACCTCCCAGAAAGACACCACTATTCTGTTCTGAAAATTTCCTTCAGTATGTTTGGGAGGAAAAACCCTTCACAAAGAAGATACAGATTTTAAGGAAAACCAAGTAATAGATAAGATACATCAGACCTGGTGCAATGGCTTAATGGCTAAATTTGTACCTTGCAAGCTCTGGGATCCCATATGGGTGCTGGTTTGTATCCAGGCCGCTCCGCTTTCCATCCAGCTCCCTGCTTGTGGCCTGGGAAAGCAGTCGAGGACGGCCCAAAGCTTTGGGACCCGGCATCCACATGGGAGACCTGGAAGAGGCTCCTGGCTCCTGGCTTGGCTCAGCTTGCTTCAGCTGTTGGAACCCTTTGGGGAATGAACCAGCAGATGGAAGATCTCTGTCTCTCCTTGTCTCTGTAAATCTGCCTTTCCAATAAACATAAATAAATCTTAAAAAAAAAATATATAGGCATACCAAAAGCAATGGATTGGGAACAAAGGTTTTCATTTTAGACAGCTCCATGGGGACCACAGCAGGCAAGAACGGTAACTTTGTTTCCACCCTGTGCTCACAATAGCCTTCAGCTTTCTTTTTTCTTACATTTTTAACTGATGTATTGATTTGAAAGGCAGAGCTAGGGAAAGGAAGACAGAGATCACTCCAATGACTACACTAGTCAAGGGCGTGCCAGGCTGAAGCCAAAAGCCTGCCACTCAATGCAGGTCTTCCACGCAGGCAGGCAGGTGCCCAGGCCTGCGAGCTGCCTTCCCAGGGGCAGAGGCAGGGTGCTGGAGAGGCTGAGGACCAGCCTGCTTGGATCTGTCACAGGTCATAGCTTAACCACCCCCCACCAGGGCACGTACAAGCAGAGCCCGCGGGGTTCACCTTTGCTACTTGGTCTTTCTCCTTGGAGACGTGGGTGCCGGGCCTGGAGTCAGTGGGGGTGACTTTGGACAAACCCTAACACACTGGAGTTGGAACTTTGTCTTGCTACACACAACCAGAGCACACAGTTCTGAGTACGAAGGACCCCTGAATGTGGCTGGGGAGCCCCAGGTGTCACAGTGTACACGTGCCCGTTCGACTTGAAAGGGAGTCCCCCCAGGTCCACACAGCGTCTTCATCCGGGGCCTTTCTTATTGGAGGTCAGTGCCCATGGGGGAGAGCCGATCAGAGGAGGAAAAGCACCGTGAACACGTGACTATGACTATCCGTGGCAGCTGCGGTGTGGACGGCCGAGTCACCACGCAGGCTGGAAGCTACCATTTTGTAAAAACACAGTGCAGGTTTTTTTTTTTTTTCCACTTGTAAAACTGCGAGAATACTGTGTCCAGTAAGCCTGTACACACAGGGCTGGAAAAACATTTTTTGGGGGAAATACTACTGTTTTACTGAGCATAGGATGGACTATCTGCATTTTAATATATTTTTTAAAAAATATCTCAATTCTGAATAACGCTCCCATTCGTCCGGGGTCGGGCCGAAGTCCCTCCCCCCCCTTTTTTTTCCTGCTTGGTCACCCACCTCCCTGAACGTGTGCCCCCCGAGGACGAGGACACCGCATTCACTTGCGGCCATGGGCGTCCACCTGCACCTGCCAGCCCTGCGCCCCAACGCGCGCTCACTCACGGCCCCGTGGTCGTGCCGGCTGCGGGCGCCGCCTGGTGGCCGTTTGCGGAAATCTCCGGTGAGCGGCTTGGTGCGTGACGGGGTGGGGAGGGCAGGGGTCCTGACTGCGCCTGAGGGCTGCCCACGGATTTGCCTGATTGCAAAAAAAAAAACCCAGCGCTTCCCCTCCCGCCCCTCCCCTCGCTAACCCGTTGGAGGATTTTAAAAAGGGCGATGAAGGCGCTGGGGTTTCGGCGAAGCGGGTTGCCGTCCCGTCAGGAATGGCGGAGTCAGGCCGTCGTCGGGCAGCAGGCGACCCGGAAGTGGCCGGCGCGGTGCGGTCCCCGAGGCCGGGCGCGGGAGGCGGAGCGCGGCTGTGGCGGCGGCGACGACGGGGACGACGGCGGAGGGGTGCGGGTCGGGGTCCCGGCCGGCGGCGAGAGGCCAGGGCGGCGGCGGCGGCGTGGGGCCGCGGGGTCCGGTGCGCGGGCGGCATGAGCGCGGCGGGGCTGCTGGCTCCGGCCCCGGCCCCGGCCGGAGCGCCGCCGGCTCCCGAGTATTTCCCTGAGGAGGACGAGGAGCTGGAGAGCGCCGAGGACGACGAGCGCAGCTGCCGGGGCCGCGAGTCGGACGAAGGTGCGGCTCTGGAAGAGCCGGGAGCCGGGGGTCGGGGCGGGGAGGAGGCAGCAGGGGCTCCCTGGGTACCCCACCCCGCGTCGCGCCCCCAGACCGTGTGTGGGTGTGTGTGGGTGGGTGGGTGGTGGGGGGTCCCTGTCGGGTGCTGCGGGGCTGCCCGCTTCCCCAGGTGACTCCGGGGTCAGCTCTGCGAGGGGCACTGGGGGGCTCAGCCTGGGCAGCTGGAGCCGCCGTCGTAACGGGGGGCTGTGTGTGTGTGGAGGCTTTCGGGGCGCGCCGCCCCTACTCTCTGCAGGGGGGGGTGAGGTTCTTGGGGACCCGGGTGGCGTTTCGGGGGGCTCCTGCATGCACGCACGACGCTTTCCTAGGAGTTGTAGGCTTGGGCAGGTGCAGAAGCAGGGAGAGTTTGGAGGGAAAAGGAGCCAGGTATGAAAGTTGTGGCGAGAGCCCAAGACGCGACCCCCGGGGAGGAGTGTGTGTGTGTGTGTGTGTGTCGTGGCGATCGGGGAAGGCGCCTGGGACGGGGGGCGGGAGGCGAACAAGAGTGTCTGACTCGCCTCGTCCTCCCACCGGCTTGGTAATGAACTGTTTCCCTAAACTCAAGGAAAAGCAACTTTTGTTGTTTGGGGCTCCGGTCCGCGTTGCGCCGCCTCCGGGAGGCTTGCACTGCGCTCTCCCGTCCACGAGGGGGCGCGGGCGCCCTGCGCGGCTGGCCCCGCTCCTTCCCTGAGCAGTTTTTTAAAAATTTAACATTTTAATATTTTGCATTAGTTTTTTAAGTCCTCTTGCCTCTTTCCTCTTATTCACTTCAGTTGTCACCTTGAAAATATTTTAGTTCTTTTTTTTTGATATTTTAGTTCTTATGAGTTCAGCTTGTTGTGGGAAGTACACTTTTTTTTAAAAAGATTTATTTTATTTTTGTTGGAAAGGCGGATATACAGAGAGGAGAGACAGAGAGGAAGATCTTCCGTCCGATGATTCACTCCCCAAGCGGCCGCAACGGCCGATGCTATGCCGATCCGAAGCCAGGAGCCTCTTCTGGGCTTCTGAAGCCCGTGCAGGGTCCCAAAGCTTTGGGCCGTCCTCGACTGTTTTCCCAGGCCACAGGCAGGGAGCTGGAAGGGAAGCGGGGCTGCCGGGATTAGAACCGGCGCCCATATGGGATCCCGGGCGTGCAAGGCGAGGACCTTAACTGCTGCACCATGGCGCTGGGCCCGAAAGTTCACTTTTCTATGTGTGGATTTTCAGCAAAGGATTCAAATGGGGCACGTTCCATGGGACAGCTTACTGTACAAGTCATGCATCTGTAATGTGAAAACCCCAAGCCTGGAGCTTTCCGAATGCTGGATAAAGCTCAAGGTTTCCGATGTTGGGCTTCCAGCTCAGGGTTGGTGATCGTGTACGTCTGTGTAACTATTCCTGAAGAAACCCCCAAAGCTTGGAGGGCTTTGTGTTGTAGTTGTTGTTGTTGTTTGTCACTGGCATGTCTGGATAAAGAATATTCAGCATCTCAGCTGGCCTTGTGCTTTGAAACCTTTTTTGTTTCTGGTTAGGCTCCAGACTGCTTCACTCACTCTTCAACCGCCTGCTGAGCTCCTGGGAAAGCAGCAGAGCGGGACCCAAGGGCTTTGGTTCCCACCCCACGGGGGAGACTCCTGCCTCCTGGCTTTGAACCTGCCCAGCTCTGGCTGCTGCAGCCATTCAGGGAGTGAACCAGAGAATGGAAGATCTCTCTGTCTGTCTCTCTCTCTCTCTCTCTCTGTCTCTCTGCCTTTCAAATAAAACGTTTAGTCTATGTTAGTTTATGAAGTTCTTCTTTGGGCGTGGTGAAAGCCAGGCACTCAATCCAGGTCTCTCTCATTGGTGACGAGGCCCGTGAGCTGTCCCTCTTAGGGTGTGTGTCAGCAGGCAGGAGGGGAGCCTGTCACCGCCTGCTGGGCAGTGCGCCTGCAGTGCCGGGTCGCATGGCCACCTGTCCCGTCCTGCGGCTCGCCGTGCCTGGCTGGGGCTGACTCTGAGTACGTGTTTGTACATTGGAAATGGCCCTTTATTTTCTGAGTAAGTCTGTTGAATGTTTCTCGTCGTGGCTCGGTGCAGGCCCGTGGGGGTGTGCCCACCTCTCCTGGCACTTGGAGCTGCTGCTGCGTCGGGCGACACCGACCGTGGGTGCTTCGTAACCACTCCTTCCTCTGTTTCTTCAGACACGGAGGATGCCAGCGAAACCGACCTGGCCAAGCATGACGAGGAAGACTACGTGGAGATGAAGGAACAGTGAGTATGCTTTGCGTGTTTATGGTATGGAAGGTGGAGTTGATAACAAAATCCTGATTGCACTTGAGGAAGTATTTCTGACACTGCGTCTGTGCCATTCCCCATCGAGCCCAGTCCTCCTGTCTGACACTCCTGAGGGCAGGCTGGGAAGAACTTGGGGGAAAGGCCTTTAAAACAGTTCGTAACTTTTACCACCCCCCCCCCCTTGGTTGGTGTGAAAAACCAGTGCTCAGAGAGACATCTTTGAGCCCGGGTCTGCTGAGGGCCCCCCCGCCCCGCTGTGGGAGGAGTGTGGGGAGCTCCGCGTGGGGAGTGTGTTCACCTGCCTGGCCTCACGCAGGCTGCAGTCAGAGAGCCTGGCCCAGCGCTTTCCTGGCACGCCAGAAAAGGGGCAACTGGCAGTCAGGCTACGGTCTGACTTCCGGGCTTCTGCAGGCAGTTTCCGGGTTGTGCCAGCAGGTGCTGCCTGCCTGTCCGGTTGCAGCTGCGACCCGGAGGGTCACAGAGCCGCCCGCTGATTGCTGTTTCTCTCCAGGCTGTCGGCGGACACACCTTGAGCCGCACAGGCCCCGTTCACACCTCTGTTCTTTCCCGAGTCTGTCTTGGCGAATCTGGTTCATTTGTTTTGCTTCTTTGGTCTGTCAGTTTTTTTTTTTTTTTTTCCCAAAATGGACTCAGGATTACGGTGGGCTCCAGATGCTCCTTTCTTTTTTGTGATTGACTGTTCTTTCTCCTGCACGTGTGTGTGTGGGGGGGGCAGATGTACCATCTTTCTGTTGGGTGTACCTAAGATTTGATGATGTAGGGTTTAAAAAGATTTCTGTATGTATTAGGAAGGGAGAGCTGAACCTGCTGGTTCACTCCCTGGATGGCGCCGTGGGCCAGGGCTGGGTGACACGAAAGCCAGGACCTTCATCTGGGTCTCCCACGTGGGTGCAGGGGCCCAGGACCTTGGTCTGTCCTCCCGTGCTCGCCCAGGTGCTTCTGCAGGGACGGAGCACCTTAGAGGCAGAGTGGCCAGGGTGGAGGATGCCAGCACTACAGGCAGAGCTTAAAGTGCTACGCCACAGCACCAGCCCCTGTGCCCTCTGTGGCCCAGGGTTGCCCTGGGAGGACAACAGGCGTGGCCCTCACTTTGCCCACTGTTGCTTTCCTCCTGGAGGGTGGGTGGGATGCCCAGCCCGTGTTGGGCCTTCAGAAGGCTTCTGTGCTTGTACGTTGATATTCTTTCAGGTCGAAGTCCCCTTTCTCTCGCATGAGATCGGGTGTCTTCAGGTAGAAGCAGAAATATTGCTGAGATTGGCTTGATGATGAAGAATTTTCTTGGGGACAATTTCAGTGTGCAGAGCAAGATTTATTAGGGAGTGAAGGAGAGGGCTGGGAAAGACCCAAGGAAATGCTGGAAGGGGTGTCCTGTGTAATGGCTCAGGGAGGGGCCTCAAGGGTAACTAAGGGAGTGGCTGACGCTCAGGGCTGGGATTAGTGTGGGCTGTGTCTCCTTTTGTCCTGACAACAACTCCACCTGGTGGGAGTTGATGGTCTGCTTTTGTCTCATTGCATTCCCTCAGGGAGACTAAGAGCTAGGGAGGAGGAACCCTTGGAACTTGGAAAGGTAAGAGATGGGGAGGAGCAAGATTTTTTTTTAAGATTCATTTATTTTTATTGGAAAGTCAGATATACAGAGAGGAGGAGAGACAGGAAGATCTTCTGTCTGATGGTTCACTCCCCAAGTGGCTGGAGCTGAGCCAGTCTGGAGCCAGGATCCAGGAGCCTCTCCAGGTCTCCCACGTAAGTACAGGTTCCCAAGGCTTTGGGCTGTCCTCGACTGCTTTCCCAGGCCACAAGCAGGGAGCTGGATGGGATGCGGGGCTGCCAGGATTAGAACTGGTGCTCAGGTGGGATCCCGGTGTGTTCAACATGTGGACTTTAGTTGCTAGGCCACCGCGCTGGGCCTGAGAAGAAAAGTAACTTTACCAGGGACCAGAGACGCTGGCTGCCTGTTAGCCCACCTGACTCCTCCCACGAGGCTGCCTTCACGGTTGAGGATCTTAGCTTAATTCTTCAAAAGTTATTTGAGAGAGAGAAGGAAAGAATTCCCGTCCTTGGCTCACTGTAAGGCGCTCTGATGGGGTGCAGGCCTCTCCGTCGGGGTCTTGGTCATGGATCACCCACCTGTGCCTGCACTGGGAGATGTGTAGATGGCTCTGTAAGGGGGGTTGTTTGCGATTAGAACATTCAGTAGTGTAGACTCCTCGTGCCTTTCTGATCCCTGGACTATCCTGTATGAGCTAGCAGATTTGTCTCCTCTCTCTCCTAAGTAACGGGGGTGGGAGGGGGTGAAGTTCCCTTAGCATTAACAACCCAGGGAATCGGGCCTAGCGGCTAAAGTCCTTGCCTTGAACGCTGGGATCCCATATGGGCTACGGTTCTAATCCCGGCAGCTCCACTTCCCATCCAGCTCCCTGCTTGTGGCCTGGGAAAGCAGTCGAGGATGGCCCAAGGCTTTGGGATCCTGCACCCACGTGGGAGACCCGGAGGAAGTTCCTGGCTCCTGGCTCCGGATTGGCGCAGCACTGGCCGTTGCTGGCGCTCACTTGGGGAGTGAATCACTTGGGGAGAAGATCATCTTCTCTATCTCTCCTCCTCTCTGTATATCTGACTTTGCAATAAAAATAAATACATCTTTAAAAAACCCAGGCGATTTCTGCGGGCATCATGTCTCGGGGTTGAGGATTCAGCGTTTCACCTCTCTGGTTTTTCTTACAGGATGTATCAGGACAAACTGGCTTCTCTGAAGAGGCAGTTGCAGCAGCTGCAGGAAGGTCAGTGTGGGGTGGAGTCCTCCGTTCCGAACTTCAACCTTTGACATGTTTCACTAATCTGGGTGAGACTTAAAATGGGTTCTGGCTGGTTTTAGCTGTCTGCTGCATTTTATGTTCTTCGTCAGGAAAGTGATCTTTTAAATAAAAAAAGGGTTGTTTATTTTGAAAGACAGAGGGATTCCCCCCGTCGGCTGGTTTGTTCCGCAGATGGTCCCTGATGGCAGACTGAAGCCCAGAGCGTCCTCCTGCTCTCCCGTGTGGTGGCCAGGCCAAGGACTTGGAGCATTTTCTGCTGCTTTCCCCGGGCCTGTTAGGGGGCCTGGGTGAAGCGCAGCAGCTGGCATCCCATGGGAGGCTGGCATTGCGAGTGGTGGCCTTAAAATGTGAAGAATTCCTTCTTCAAACGCAATGTTATTTGGAAGTTTCCTTGGGACATGAACTGATGATCGCTGTGCCTAAAGCAAAGTATTCTTCTAAAAAAATAGTAGAGCCTTTCTGCTCTTTCTTAACCAGTTGTTGATGAACTGTTCTCACTTCTCTTGGTAAATTACCGAGTGCTTTTGGTTTCTAAAGGTAGTGTGGTGTGGCGCTTAGAACCCTGGCCTTGTGCCTTGGTAGTATTGAATCCCACTGGCTCTGGAATGTCACCTTCGCCATGTTCCTTTGTCTTGCTTTGTCTTTTCCAATCTGCAAAATACGGAGGACAGGAGTAGATGAATTTGTAAAGGAGAAGGTTGAGCAGGACCTGAGAATGGGGGCCCTGCGACCGGAGCTGCCAGCTCTGGCTTCATAGTACGGGGTGCTCCATCAGGGAACCGGCGACTCTGATTGCTTGGAGGCGATCCGCTCCCTTAGACTGGTTCCTGGGCAGGCATTATGGTTGGGAAACGTTTTTACAAATTGGTACTTTCCTTCTTAGCAGTTTTAAGGATTCAGTTAGAATGTAAACTAGAGCTGTCTAGAAACTTGTCAGGCCACAGCTATTTGATTAAATTTAAATGAAATTAGTTGGCTCCTTTGGTCACATTAATTTGCAGAGCTAATATGACCATGCGTGGTCAATGGCTACCGTATTGGACATGCACACGCAGCGCATTTTCATTGTTGCAGAGGGCTCTGCGCAGTCTTGACCTACAAGAAGGCGCTTGTTCCTTCCCCGGAAGCTTGCTGGCTGGCGGCCAGGGGCTGCTGTCACTTGGCGGGGGAGGGGTTCCATCCCCCAGGCATCTGCACTCTAGAATCTTGGGCCCAGGCTGGAGCGGATGCTAGGTCCTGCTTTGGCTGGTTTCTGCTGCCTTGGCCAAAATCCAGTTAGCTAAGCTCAGGTGGGGCTTTCGGTGTTGCCAAAACGTCACTGTTGGTGCTCTGGGACAGTGTTAGGAACAGAATCTAAGCAGGTCAGTTAAAGTAAGTGTTTTGTTAATGTTCAAATCAGGTACACTACAGGAATATCAAAAGAGAATGAAGAAACTGGATCAGCAGTACAAAGAAAGGATCCGGAATGCAGGTGAGGCACCGAGTGCACTAAGTGCTGGGCCCCCCAGGCTCATCCGGAGGTGGGGTGACCCCAGGGCTCTGGACCCAGGAGGGTCCGATGGGGAGGGTGTCTGCGGAGGAGTCCAGAGCTGCAGTTAGGTGGCACCAGTGGGCGCCTCCGCGGTTGAAGGTGTCGCTATTGGTTCTGGGGAGTCGTGCCCGTCTCCCTGGTGCCCCAGCAACAGCTCTGCACCGACTCGTCACGTCCACGTGTCCGGCTTATTGGGTGATTGGAACTGCTGTTGTGAACAGGGATCTTACATCTTTTTTTCCTAATATTCTCCGCTCTGGCATCAGGGTTATCCTTGGATTATTTCTCCAAATGTCATGAGCATTAGGGAGGAGCGGCATGCTTTCCGTCTGCTGCTCTTCCTAGGTTTGTTCATTCAGCAGTGTGTCACTACATCGAGGAAGCACTGAACGCGGCCATTCCCAAGGCTTGGGCGTGTTTCTCTGTAGGCAGCCCTGTTTTACTGACAGAGGAACTACATACATAAAGTTACCAAGTCATGCGAAAAGTAGATGGGTTTGAGTTCATTATCAGCTTACTCTTTTTTTTTTAACAGTTAATCTTATTTTTATCTGAAAGGCAGAGTTAGTGACAAAGAGAAACATCTTCCTCTTGCTTGTTTACTCCCCAGATGGCTGCAAGATCAGGAGCTAGGAGCTGCTTCTGGGTCTCCCATGCGGTGCAGGAGTCTGAGCACTTGGGTCGTCCCCTGCTACTTTCCCAGACCGCAGCAGGGAACTGGACAGGAGGTAGAGCAGTGGACACAAAGCGGTGGCAATATTGAATTGCAGCACCACAGCTAGAGGCTTAGCTTACTGTGCCAAAGCATGGGCTCGCTGCTTGTTCTTATTGGGGAACTAAAGTTGCTGTTTTTTTTTTTTTTTTTCTAATATTTTTCTTGGAAAGTCAGATTTGCAGAGAGGAGACACAAAGATCTGTCCTGGGGTTCACTCCCCAAGTAGCTGCAAAGGTTGGAGCTGAGCCGATCCAAAACCAGCAGCCAGGAGCTTCTTCTGGGTCTCCACTCAGGTGCAGGGTCCCAAGGCTTTGGGCCATCACCTGCTGCCCGCCCAGGTCAAAGGCAGGGAGCTGGACGGGAAGTAGAGCAGCTGGGACATGAACTGACAACCCAGCAAATGTAATTGAACTTTTTTTATTGTCTCTTTCAGAACTTTTCCTCCAGCTCGAAGTAAGTACCGGGGATGGTTTTCCCAAGCCAGGACTGTGCCTCTCTTGATGTGGTGGGCTTCCTGTTAGCACGTGATTGTGAGAACCGTCCACATTGCTGCCGTGTGGCCATGTGCTCTCAGCTGGGCCATGCTTCTGTTCGTTTGTTGCTTAGAGAGCCTCGGTTACCACAGGCCAGCTGGGTTACCACAGGCCACAGGCCAGCACTCCTGCTGCTCACTGCCCGTGGTCGACATAAACTAACTCAGTCTGAATTGGTGCTACAGTTCTATGTTACAGTTAAAGCGCTTTTGGCCAGTAGAAAGGATGAAGTTTTCATCTTGCCGCTCACCCCACAGACAGCCTGAGTGCGGGTGTGAGGCCCAGCCTGCGCTGCAGCGAGGGGGCCCGCGGCTTCGCCATGCCTCTGGACGTGGGAAGGACCTTCCTGGGGAAGGCCCTGCTGTTGGGAAGCCTTTTAGCACTCCAGTTGCTTCACAGCCCGTAGGCCTTGTGAGCTTGCGCGCGCACCGGGCCCCACAGAGCTCCCCTTGTTCTCCATGTGGCTCAGTGGTGAGACTTTCCAAGTGTGTGGTCTCTTGGAGTACTTAGCAGTCAGGTGCCTAACGTGATCCACTGTTGCCGCTGTTTTTCTACAGTGTTAGAAACATTAGCTCTGCTCTCTGACTTGACTATCTTGTAATTAACTTTAAATTTAGATATTTGATCTGAAATGCACATACTGCTTCCTTTGAATTTGTGTCCTTAAACAGGATTGCTTAGTGTCTGAAAAATTGATGCTGTGCTTTAACGTAGTTAGAGAGGAAATGCCTGCGCAGTAACTGAGGTGTGCTTCATAAAACGCAGAAGTTACGGGGGGCTCTTTGATGCAGCCTTTCGGGGAGCTTGCTCGTGGACACCCTGTGTGTGTGTGTGTGTGTGTGTGTGGAGTGAGGGACCAGCCCTGTTTCCCCAGGCTTCGGTACTGTTGAGGACAAAGTCACACTTGGGGTTGGATCCCTGGGTGCCTGGGTCATATCCCTGCTGCCTGTGTTTTTCGTTTGCTCAGACTGAACAAGTAGAGAGAAATTACATTAAAGAAAAGAAGGCAGCAGTGAAAGAATTTGAAGACAAGAAGGTTGAGCTGAAGGAGAACCTGATTGCTGAGCTTGAAGAAAAGAAGAAAATGATTGAAAATGAAAAGCTGACAATGGAATTGACCGGAGGTATGGCAGCCCGTGGGGCCGGGGCCTGGGGGCCTGGAGGTGTCTGCTGCAGCTCCCTGTCCTGCTTCCCTGCTGGGCACAGGCCAAGGTGAAGGGCAGTGGGCCCTGCTGTCTGGTGATGGTGTTATCTTAGTGTAGCTGCTGAACTGAGCCTGCTTCGTGCTGCAGTATAGTGTTAGTCACAGCCTAGCTCAGCTTGGATACAAGTGCCAGCACTGTGTCCTTCGTGTGGACCTGGATGTGGAGTGTCTGGTCCTTGAGGTATAGACGACCCGTGGACTTCCAGCTGGCCTTGCCTGGGCAACCTCAGTGGGCACTCAGGTATATCTGTAGCAGGCCAGTTTTTACTAATGACTGTGTGTGGGCTGATAACGATGTTATTAATGGCCATCCAGGTGGCCCTGGGCAATGGAAAGGTCCCTCCCCTTGGTGAGGACGGTACAGCGTGGCGGAGCTCACGAGCAATTGCAGGCTCTGGGCTTGGTTCGGCTCCTGGGTCAGCTGCCACTTCGGCTTTGTTGTGTCCCGGACAGCTTGGCTGTGACAGTCTGTACTGATGGGAGTCCCTTTGTTTTACTCAGTTTGCCCTAATTACAGAAAAGGTATTGCTTGCCTTTGGCCTGGATGGGCGGAGGAAGGTTCTGGACTGTTCTGTGGTACTGGTAGGTCTCTGCCCCCAGGCGTTGCTGGGAGCATTTCAGAGGCGAGGCTTGCAATCACAGCCTGTGGAGTGGTCACCTACCACCAGAGCCAGTCCCCCTGGAGCTTTCTAGGGGTCAGGAACTCGGCACGTGTAGAGGGGAGCAGTGTGGGCCAGCTTTCCTGCTGCTGCGTGTAGGTGACGAAGGCTGGCAGAGCACAGGAGACTGAAAGCCTGGGCTTTGTCTCTCGGCTGGCACGTGCGCTCTTCTGCACATCCCACATTGGTTTTTAAAAGATTTATTTATTTTCAGTGGAAAGTCAGATATACGGAGAGGAGGAGAGACAGGAATATCTTCCAACCGATGGTTCACTCCCCAAGTGAGCACAACAGCTGGAGCTGACCTGATCTGAAGGCAGGAGCCTCTTCCGGGTCTCCCATGCGGGTGCAGGGTCCCAAGGCTTTGGGCCGTCCTCGACTGCTTTCCCAGGCCACAGGCAGGGAACTGGATGGGAAGCTGAGCCACCAGGACATGAACAGGCACCCATATGGGATCCTAGTGCATGCAAGGCGAAGACTTGAACTGCTAGGCTACTGCACCGGGCCCACTATTTCATTCTTGATAATCAGGTATCTATAAAAGGCTGTAAAAGGAAAAAGGGATCTGAGTTTGTAAAGGATCCACTAAGCTCTGAGTCCAGGCCTTGGAAAGGGCCTTTTGTAGCAGTGGCTGTAAGTCTTCCCACCCTCGGGGCAGCAGGCTAGGGACTTTTCAATCTCCAGATGCTGTGTAGCTTTTTAATTTGAGAGGGCGCCTTCCTCCTAGTGTTTGAGCATGCTGGAGTGATGTCTGCAGGGGACTTAGAGGTATGTGCACGCATGTGAACTCATCTTGCGTCTTAGAAGCATCAATTCTTGCTGGAATCTGATAGAGGCATCTGACCTGAGCCACGTGTAGGACAGACTTTCCCCCATGAGCTGTTTGGATGGCTGTGAGGTCTTAGGGTTGGGAAATCCTTACCGAGTCAGCGAGACTTCATTGTGTGGGTTCCGTTCTTGCCGCAGATTCCATGGAGGTGAAGCCCATCATGACCAGGAAGCTGCGGAGACGGCCCAACGATCCTGTCCCCGTCCCGGACAAGCGCAGAAAGCCTGCTCCTGATATCCACTTGGGTCTGGCTGCAGCCCCTTTCCCTCGAGATGGTTGAATCTGCTGCCTGTCCATTGAGAGAGTACATCCGGCTCTTGCCCTGTGGAAAATAGCAACATTCGATTAGAAACCACCTCTGAAATAGTTATCCATGGGGTAGGGCTCAACCATTTTATTATTGCAATCCTCAGTTGCTAATTACTGCTGCTATTAGTGGGACGAATTTATAGAGTAGTTATGCAGACCTACTCTCGGAGTAGTTGGGTTGGAAAAATCAGTGTTTGTTGTAATGTATGTCAAGACTCAGGGGCAACTGGAACCTGAATGCGCCTTAATTTCCCTGCCTGTAACGCGCAGATGTCTGCCTGTGTGCCTCGGTTATCTGAGTCTAAAACAGTAAATTGCAAGCTGTTCTTAAATTAAAACAAGTGAGATTCCAGCTAGCTGTCAGGTGGCCTTTTCATCGTAAAAACGGGGCCAAAATGTTGGGGGGACTGCTCCTGCACCCCCCGAGGAGGTGTTGGTAGTTGCTTGCCAGATCTGTTTGCTGCTGGGAAAGGAGAGGAGTTCCCTTCACCTCGGCAGCTGGGGACCTCATTCCTGGGGTCTGTGTCTGCTGAGACCTTTGCAAGAAAAGCACCCCTTGAAATGCTGACGTGTTCCCTGCTGGACCGTGGTCGGCAGGGTGGAGCTGTGATGTCTGTTTTTATACCTGGGCACCACAACATTTAGTAGGGGAGTCAGTTTTGTCATCGAACCTAATTATATTTATCAATTCTAAAATACTTGTACAGTTTTGTGGAGTTCCGCTTTCTGGCAGAGCATACTTTGTAGACACATTTGCTTAACTCTCAGCACCTCAGCTAAACTATTTGTTAACAGATGAACAGATAATGGAGGATCTGAGGACGTTAAATAAGGTACAGTTGGACTTTCTGATTTTTTTTTGGAAAGACCAAGTTAGGAGACACCCTCGTGCACGCGCGCGGCGGGGGTGGCTGGGAGAGGGCGGTGTGGGGAGATGGACTGAAGGTCCTTTGGCTCGTTCCTCAAGTGGCTGCAGTGGCCAGAGCTGGGCCAACCCCGAGCCGGGAGCTGCTTCCTGGTCTCAGGTGAATGCAGGGGTCCAGGGCTTAGACGCTCCCCCCACCCCCCCATTGTCCAGGCCACAGGCAGGGAGCGAGATGGGGAGTGGAGCTAGAGCTTTGCCCTTATGGGATCCTGGCGCATGCAAGGGACGATTAGCGCGCTATGCTATGGTGCCAGCCCTTTGAGTTTTTATGTCTTTTTTTTTTTTAATTTAGAAAGCCAAAGCTTGCCATGGTTTTCAGCCTTGCTTTACTCATGTGGTACTTGTTAAATCATGATACTTTTGACAATTTAAGTTGCTTCTGAAATGATTTTTCTCTAACATTTTTTGGTTGTTTTTTCTACAGCTTAAGTCACCCAAGAGACCAGGTAAGCACGTGATGTTACTGGCATTTACCATTTTTTAATGTGTTCTTCAAAAGCATGGGAATTACTGTCAGTGAAGCATCTTTATGAAAACCGAAGGGCACTTTGCTTTCTTATCTTGCTGTGTTCGCTTTGCCTTTTCCTTAGGATTTGTTAATAAAACAAAAACAAAATCAAAAACATTGGATTGGCTGGTTTGATTTGCTTCTGTTTAGACATCAGGCACAAGATACAAGTTGATATTTGTGTCAACGGAACATGAAGGGCTTTTCGCTAGGGCTCATTGTGTGAAGTGAAGCCCTGGGCGTCGAATTGTGGTGGCATTTTTAGGGCCGAGCTCTGCCCCAGCTCCCCCGCTGCTGGAGAAGCCAGGCAGTGTTCGCAGCCACCTCCTCCAGGCAGCACTTGAAGATGTGCTGGCCTGAGAGTGTCTTGAAGTGTGTGATGATTGACACGTGCTTGTGCCCGCTGACCTCGGTGTGGGAAAGTTCCATGTAGACACTTTGCCGAGGCCCGCGGGGTCCTCGGGCGGCTTGAGTGTCTGGGGCACGAAGAGGGGAGAATTGCCGGAGTGACTACGAGAATTGAGGTCATGTTGAATCCACTGTTGTAGAGACGCCATTTTTTAAAAAGGAATGTTCACACTCTTGCCCTTGAATGCGGCTGGTGAGCAGAGATTTAGCTCTGCCCTAAGTGATGGCGCGCATTGCACGTTGGACTTGAACAAGCTTCCTGAGCGTCAGGTTGCGCCTTGCTCAGGAGTGAGTCTGGCCTGACTGCTTCACTGGGCTTCGCTGAGGCTCCACTGAGATGTCATATGCACATGTTGTGTTGAATTTGCATGTACTGCTGCTGCAAGGGCTTGATGTGATTTCAGTTTTAGCATGCTAGGTGGCGACGCGCGGCTGTTGCTTACATGCTTAGTCATTGACACGTGTCTGATTCCTCCAGCGTCCCCGTCCTCTCCTGAACACTTGCCTGCTACGCCCTCAGAGTCTCCTGCCCAGCGATTTGAGGCACGGATAGAAGATGGCAAACTGTACTATGACAAAAGATGGTAAGTTTTGCAAAAACACGGAATGCTTAAATAGTCTCGAAAGAAACAGTTGGGAAAGGGCGGGGCTTGTGTGACTTTCTCAGAGCAGAGCTGCTGCTTGATTGCACAGCCATGCAGTAGAGTTGCATTACAGTTGGTCAGTGCAGGCTCTGCCCAGTGTCTGGAAGCACTATTTTTCAAAATGTGTGTGTTTTTTAAGATTTATTTATTTCTATTACAAAGTCAGATACACAGAGAAGAGAGACAGAGAGGAAGATCTTCCATCCGATGGTTCGCTCTCCAGGTATCTGCTACAGCTGGAACTGAGCCGATCCAAAGCCAGGAGCCAGGAACTTCCTCCAGGTCTCCCATGCTTTGGGTCGTCCTTGACTGCTTTCCCAGGCCACAGGCAGGGAGCTGGAAGGGAAACGGGACAGCCAGGACATGAACTGTTGCCCATATGGGGTCTTGGCACGTGCTAGACAAGGACTTTAGCTGGGGCCATGTGGGTGTGTTTTTTTTTTTTTTTAAGATATATTTATTCAGTTTGAAAGAAGACAAAGAAGTAAAAACAGAGATTTTGCATGTGTTGATTCACTATCCAGATGGCTGCAGTGGCCAGCAGTAGACCAGAGCAAAGCCAGGAACCTCCTCCAGGTCTGCCACATGGTGACAGGTACTCGAAGTCTTGGGCCATCCTTCACTGCTTTCCTGGGCTGTTAGTGCAGAGCTGGACTTGGAGTGAGGCAGCTGGGACACTGTGTGGCGCCCGCAGGGCACGCTGGTGTTGCAGGCAGCAGTTTTACAGTGCCAACCCCCTAAAATGCATATAAACTGCTGGTGCTTCCTGTGCTGCCATCAGCACAGTATATGCACAGCTCATGGCTTTTCTGGTGCTCCTGTCCTTTGATGCTGTACAGTGTTTCCTTGTGCCTCTGTTAACTCCACCCTGTGTGCAGATCAGTGTTCTTCCATCACGTAGCTCAGGGGATGACCATACTAATTAAAATAAATGGGTTTCAGGCCCGACACAATAGCCTAGTGGCTAAAATCCTCACCTTGCATGTGCTGGGATCCCATGTGGGTGCCGGTTCTAATCCCGGCTACTCCACTTCCCATCCAGCTTCCTGTTTGTGGCCTGGGAAAGCAGCTGAGGATGGCCCAAAGCCTAGGGACCCTGCACTCGCATGGGAGACCTAGAAGAGGCTCCTGCCTCCTGGCTTTGGTCCTGTTGTGACCACGTGGGGAGTGAGCCAGCAGATGGAAGATCTTTATCTGTTTCTCTCCTTTTCTCTGTAAATCTGCCTTTCCTTAAAAAAATAATCTTTTAAAAAAGAAAAAGGTGAATGGCTTTTTTTCATTGTGCCTTTGGATTGCATGATATGCTGAGGCACTCTGAATTGCCAGGGTGTTAAAAGGTATTTTTTGTTTGACATCTGTATTTATTGGGCATGTATCACCCTACAATAGAAGTGTGCCAGGAAACTTACTTGGGGGAATTACATCCTAAAACATTTCCCCTTCAGATTGAAGACTGTTTGAAACCTTCAAACTGCCAGCATTTTTCACTGGAAAGGAAATGACAAAACAATATGAAAGAACCTAAGAATCTCATGCATTTATTTATTCAACAAACATTTATAGTGTTGGTGTTAGGTATCCTGCAGGGTGTAAATCACAGCGGTTGTAACTGGCGTAGTTCTTGCGCTCTGGCCGTCCGCGGGCTTAGCAGTCTCAGCGTTGCTCTGCGCAGGCATAGTGGATGCATGGCTGGAGTCCGCCTTTCTCTTGGTCACACTGAGAATATGATCTTTGTAATTATCTTTTTGAAATGGCTGTATAATGATTCTGAGTTTAAATATCTTTAGCTAAAAGTCCCCAAATTAGGATAGAAGTTTTGATCTGTCAGAAGGAAGGGAGTCTGTGGAGTTTGTTAGTTGGTGACCTTATGATAAGCTGCTTGGACATAACACATGGGGATCTGGTCATTCCTGAAGCAGCCGTCCCGTTCGGCTGCAGTGAGCTGGCCCGCCGGTAGGTGGCGGTAGGTGGCGGAGCCTTGCTGTGTCTGCCGGCTTGCTCTGGGCAGTTGGAAGTTAGGCATGGACTTGCTTACCAGGACATGTCACCACTAGGAGGCAGGCTCTCACAGCTCTACGCAGTGGGGCAAAGTATGATGAAAAATGTTTCTAATAATGAAAATCAAATAACCTTTAAAGATCAAGCCCACACTAGAGCCATCTTTGGAAATTATGAGATTTAGCACTAAAATTTTTACTGATCTATGAGTTTCAAAGCCAGGTGATATTTCAAGTGATGTTCATTTTGTGATTATGTTGCTTTGGATCTTCTTCCTTCTTGAGCCTGATCCTCAGACCTGATGGGACATGTCTTGAGGCTGAATATGCAGTAAAATATTTTTTTTCCTAAAGAAAGGCTATACAGTGACTGCTGTTTCATAACAGAGCAATCACGCTGGATGCGTTAGCGCTCCTAAACGCTTTGAAGGAACTTTCACCATCTTTCTCACATGAGCACTAGACATTTTGAAAATAATGTTCCTGGAAGCATTTTATTTTTTCAGTGAATTTAAAGTTGCTTACAGTAGATCTTGAGGATGTTTTGCCCTCTGTATTTTGCTTGTTTTGCTTTGGCCTTGGCAGTCAGGGCTCATAATCAGTTGTTCAAAGGCGAGTCCCCCACAGCCCTGGCCAGCAAACGTTGGTGCAGAAGAGCTTCACCCATCTGGCCAGGCACTTAAGATTTATTTATTTTTATTGGAAAGTCAGATATACAGAGAAGAAGATCTTCTATCCATTGATTCACTCTCCAAGTGACTGCAAGGGCCAGAGCTGTGTTGATCTGACGCCAGGAGTCTCTTCTGGGTCTCTCACACGGGTGCAGGGTCCCAAGGCTTTGGGCCGTCTTCAACTGCTTTCCCAGGCCACAGCAGGGAGCTGGATGGGGAGTGGGGCGGCTGCAATTTAACTGGTGCCCTTACGGGATCCCTGTCGCATGTTCAAGGCAAGGACTTTAGCCACAAGGCTACCATGCTGGGCCCAACCCCCCCTCGATTTTTAAAATGGATTATTTTCCCTTCTGTTTTACAATTGTCAGACCCTTTTTGATCTCGTCTTAAAACCCTCCATATGAGCACTTAGCTCATTCGGGAGGTTTGATGTCCAAGGTAATGGCTCCCCAAGAACATCATGTGGTATAGGAGATTCTCCTTCAACTTGTGGAGCTGGTTCGGGGGGAGGGTGCCCAGGAAGCCCCTGGTTTGGACGTCAGCTGCTTTGGGAAGCGTACTGGCCATGGAGACTCATGTGGATCTCCACCGCTGTCTGGGAGTTCCTGGGATGGCAGGTGGTTGCACTCTTGACTGATGTTCATTCTCACACCAGTCGAATGTACGGGGTCTGGATGCTGGGCACAGATAAAGGGAAATGCGGCATGTCTCGAGAATTGCTTGAACCTTCTTCCAAAAGTAACTTTTATTGTTCAGACCTTTGTCACATCAAAATGTCCTCGTTTTTACATTTTTGAGTACCATAACTTACCAGAAAATACTGCTTGGTTTTTGGTGTCTCTAACACCTATTTTTTAAAAAAGAAAGCTACAGAACTAAAGGGATGCCGTTCTTAATTTACATTCTGCAGACAATAAGCATTTAATGTACGTCTTAATACATAAAATCAATTTTTATGCATATGATACACATGCAATACGTATGTTTTATTACAAACACAAAAATATAGTGGCTTTTGCCTTTCTCCCTTTCACAGTCAGTGTGTTTATGTGCCAGTGTGGCCTTTCTCTAACGTCTGGAGAGTAGTGTTCAGTGAGCTGTTTGTGTTTTCTGTCTCTGATCACTCACAGCCCCTGTACAACAGCTGCACGTCCTTCCTGAATATCCTTAGGGGTGACTGTCATTCCGGACATTGCTGTTTACTTAGAATGGTTGGCTTAGACGGGCCAGAGAAGCCAGAAGAAGCAGTACTGGGAACTGATTCAGCCTTTCTCATGCTGGTACAGCTTGGAGCGTAATGGGCCCTCCGACCCAATTTACCAACTCATTTATAGCCAACAGCAACTTTTTTGCTGGGTCTAAGCCAGTCACACTATTCTAATTGCATTTATGCTTCACTGTTTTTAAAGATTGATTATTTATTTATATTTATTAGAAAGTCATATATACAGACAGGAAGAGAGACAGAGAGGAAGATCTTCCATCTGCTGGTTCATTCCCCAAATGGCTACAACAGCCAGAACTGAGCTGATATAAAATGAGGAGCCAGGAGCCTCTTCCAAGTCTCCCATGTGTGTGCAGGGTCCCAAGGTCTTGAGCCAGCCATCCTCGACTACTTTCCTGGGAGCTGGGTGGGGAGCAGGGCGGCTGGGATTTAACTGGCACTAATATGGGATCCTGGCGCACGCAAGCGAGGACTTTAGCTGCTAGGCTACCACATGGGACCCTATGGTACACTCTTGTAACAGTGTTTTCAGGAAGCAAATAGATTTGCATTGTCAGCCCTGGCATAGCAGGTTAAACAACACTAAAAGTCTAGACTGGGGAAAAACTGGTTGTGGGAATGAATTACATCCTTTTCTTGGAAATTCTTTCATTTTCTTTCTCATGAGGTTTTTGAAAGGCAAAATGACTGAGACAGAGCTCTCCGCCTCCTGATGGAATCCTCTGGTGGTGCAAGCATTCAGCAGGGGAAGGCTGAGCCGGGGCTGGACCTCTTTCCTGGCCTCCTGATCTGAGTGGCAGCAACTCGTACTGAGTCATCCTCTGCTGCCTTTCCAGGAGCGTGAGCAGCTGGATCAGAAGCAGCTTTTCTGTGGGATGCTGGCATTTGTGGTAGCATAACCCTCTTGAGCACAATGCCGGCCCCTTCTGTGGTACCTCGGCAGTAAATTAGTACATTATAGCAGCACAGTGTCTGCTTTGCTCGTGGTGTGCTGCTCTGTTGGCAGGTGTGTGTTGGTGGAAGCTGTGGATTGACTTACTGAATTTGTGTAGCCAGAGTGACTGAACTGGAGCTGGGCCCAGGCCAGGGCTGCCAGCAGTGGTTTAGCTGATGTCTCCTGCACTGCCTGTGTGGGCTTTGCACCAGCCTTGAACTTGGATGGTTGAAGTGGCTCTGATCTGACGGCCAGGAGGATCCGGAGCATCACCTGAGTCCACTGCATTTGGAGCAAACTTGCTCTTGATTCTTCAGGGCAAATCACATAGCCTTTGATACGTGCTGTGACGTGTAAACCTGCCTGATTAGCATGGCCAGATAGGAGTATTAGTTTGTCTCCCTCCTCTCCCACGTATTTGTGCCAGCAGGGACCTGGTGCCATTGCTCACTGTCTCCAGTTATATAGTAGGTGCTTAGTGAACTTGATTCAAAGATTAAAGTGAGGCTGAATTTAGCTTCCTTCATGTTGATAAGTTATTTGGAAAAATGTAGAATAACAGTGTTGACGCTCATCTTGATTTATCCACCAAGCTTTTTGTGTTTTGGGGTGGGGCCAGGCCATGAGAATAGAGGGTTTACGTGAAAAGATTGATTTGACAGTGTGAACTGGATCACGTGATTCAAAAGAGAAAGAAACCAGACAGATTTGAGATCCTCACCTGAGCCTGGCTTTTCCTCTCTGCAGAAGGACAAAGATCCGGGGGGTGGGCCAAGACTAGGAGATCATCTCATCAATCCAGACTTTTCCTCAAAGGCAGATGATAAAAACTTCTGTAGTTGTGTTGTCATTGTAAAGTGCTTTCTTTCTTTAAAGCTTATTTTTCTTCATTTTTGAAAGTTGTGCCTTGTTTTTGGCAGGTACCACAAGAGCCAAGCCATCTACCTAGAGTCAAAGGACAACCAGAAACTGAGCTGTGTGATCAGCTCGGTCGGAGCCAACGAGGTAGGGAGTGTCCTCCTCACCCTGAGGAAGGCAGGCGTCCGCATACACAAACCGGAAATGAAAGTATTACCCAGGAAGTGGAGTGCAGTCAGGTGTCTTCTGTGGCTTAGGTTTTAAAGTTAGCACTTGAGACAGAAATTGTGTGTAGTCACCTTTGGAAACCGTTTACCTCTGCCTGACTGCCGTGTGTGTGCATTTGTGTATTCCTTCTGGCGGCCTTGGTTTGGGGCCCCGAGAGCTGGGCCATAGGAGGCAACCCAAGGCAAGCGTGTGATGTGGGTAGCTTCAAATCCCGCAGCTGCTGAAAGGGAAGCTTGCCAACAGATTCCATCTTCACTTAACCTGATTCTCTACAACTTTTCATGCGTGTTAATAGACTGTTTTCTTGACACGAGGATTTTATGAGTCACCTGGTACAGGGTGTCAGGCACCCAGGAAGTACTTAATAGATAGGTGCTTGCCTGAGGTGACCCCTTCTTGCCTTCCACCTTTGAAATATTATGTGCTGTTGTGCTTCTGGGTGACAAGCCCCAGGCTCAGGCTCTTGGGTCTTGGTCTGCAGAATGGGATGCAGTTTTAAAGTCGGCCTGCGGGGCTCACCTGAGGGCTGTGGGCCTACTGTGTGAATTCTGCAGTGGGTGCTGCATGAGGACCCCAGCAACATGTAACTTGTTATTGTTAATAGTTAAAAGATGCTCAAAACTTTAATACTGGGTTGGCTTAATCATTTTTAGTCTTCTAATGTCTGCAAAGAAATTGATTTTTATGTGTCTACCCTCTAACTTATTCATGCCAGTGCTCAGTAAATCTAATGAAACTGGATTATGAAATAACTTAGGCTTTTTTTGTTCTCCCAGCTTCCTGAATTGAAAATGCCCTCAAATGTGACTGTTTTGCAGAACGATTACTTACTTAACAGTTAGGAAGAACCTTCCAGTTAAAATGAATGTCCTTGTCTGGGCCAGCATTGGTGGGAGCTCCCTCAAGCCATGTCAGAACCAGAGCAGGGGCCTGGGGTGGAGGGGCCCTGCCGCCCCTCGGCAGAGCCCCCAGACCAGGCTGTGGACTTCTCCATGTGAGCACATGTGGCCTCCAAGCACCAAAGCCAAATTTCACAAGCAATGCATTATTCTCTGTCATCTTGAGAGAAATAGAAATGCAGATTTAATTTTTTCCATCTCTCTTTGCCTTTGACCTAGCAGGTTGTTAGGTCATTGTAGATGATGTCATTGAGACGTGTCTCCTGAAGGCAGTTGGCCTTGGCGCATTGGTGGCATGCTGTGCTGGGGTAGGGACACCGTCCCCCTGCTCACCTTCCACCTCTAAACCAAAGTGACACTGGAGCTGCTTGGCCTTATGTGACTGAGCTCTGGTGACTTGGTGGGTGGGTCTGAGTGGGTCCGAGCAGTGCAGTGGTCTCTTCCTGATTCAGTCCTGGAGTCGGCTTTCAATTTAGAGCAACTCTGCAAGGCTCTTAGAGGCTCAGCTGCTGCGAGACATTTCACTTGAATGTCTTTGTTGTGAACTAACCGCAGTAAATACATTGAGATGCAAGTGAGAATAAGCTTTTTCTAAAACCTGAAAATCAGGGAGAGAAAAGAGGAGATGTACTTTAAGGTTTTGCTTGTGCTGTGAGTGAATTGCAGAGCTTTCAGGAAGCCAGAGAGCTTGTTGGTGAAGGGGCCTGCAGTCGGGTGTCAGAGTCCCCCTCAGCACAGTCTCCGCCTTGCTGGCTGCAGTTTGCTCCCCTGTGGAATGAGGCCACTGCCGGCACTTCCCTCAGTCACCCTGAGCACGGAGAAGCCCTGCTTGCTCAGCAGTGTCGGCACACAGGAAGAGCCAGGCGGGAGGCCGCTGCGTGACAGCTGTCCTTCCCACTCACAGAGCATGCCTGTCACCTCTGACGGGCCCCCACTGTAGGAGCTCATTTTCAGATCTGTAGAAGAATGCTGTCTGCCCTGTCAAGTGTGTGGGATCTGATGCCGTCTGCTAGGGAGGGAAAGGCCGTCCCCTTTCTTGGTCCTAGCTGGACCTTGGCGTATTCGCAGGTATCAGTTTATTGTGAGTATTCCTTGTCTTCTGTGGAAACCATTAGCTTTTTTTGTTAGGCAGTGAGAGTATTGCAAGGTTTTATGTGGTGGTAATCCCGTGGGGCCAAGGACACACTTCCAGATCTGATAGTTTATGTGCAGTAATCTCTGTCTCTTGGGGACTGATGTTGTAATCAAATCATGGCTGAAAGAATTCCTAAGATGAGTCAAAAATGGAACTGAAGCTTACTGTGCTTTTCATTTTTTTTCAACCTGAGGTGTGCAGAGGTGGCCGAGAGCTGGGAGTTGAAGGCTAATGCCAGGTTGCCAGGTTGCCAGGGCCGTGCAGCGTTAGGTGCTTCTCCGGAGATGCGCTCGGAGGTTGAGGTTCAGGCAAGGCAGATGTAGAGCTGCAGTTCTGTGCTCAGAACTAGCTCGTGCCGGTCTCTGAATGTGTTGCAGGATTGCCTGTCAGTGCTTCCGAGCCTCTGATCTTGTTCCCTCTCCTGTCCCCACAGATCTGGGTGAGGAAGACGAGTGACAGCACCAAGATGAGGATCTACCTGGGCCAGCTGCAGCGTGGGCTTTTTGTGATCCGCCGGCGCTCGGCAGCCTGACTTTGTACAGTGTTTCTCTCCCCTTGACCTTCGGTGGTTTTTATTTTTGTTTTGTTTTCTTCTTAATAGAAACTTTTCTACCTTGCTGGGAACAGTGACTTGGCCTTGGCAGTAGGAGCACTGTTGTGATTCTGCAGGGCACATTTATGGCTGGCCACTTCCGGCTGGGGTCATTCCTGCCATGGGCACTGTAGGACTCGGAGTGACAGGAGTGTTGGGGCTCAATTTGCTTTCACTGCTTTGATTTTTTTGCTCACACCTTGTCTTTGAAAAAAAGTGCGTTGAGCTCCTTTTTGTTAAATTGTCTTTGAATCTTTCTATTATGAAGAAGCACAGGAAGGAATACAATCTGTGATGCATTTTCATGTTTTGAATCTGAACAGTGAATTGCGTGGCTACTTCCGTTGCAGAGCCGGATTTAGGACAGAGGTGCTAGCAGAAGAATCTTCTCGCTTGTGCAGCACCTGGTTCGCTCCGTCCATCCCCCTGGCTGAACGACAGGGCAGTTTGCCTGGACCACTCTATGCAGTGAAGTTAGTGGAGTTGCGGGCAGGGGCCATCTCAAATTCAGAATGTCCTAAAGCGACCATAGTTTTAAAATGTTATTCAAGGCTGGTTTCTTCAAACACTAGCTGGAATAGGAAGTCATTTTGTATTTTCTTTTAATTCTCTTCTCAGTCCTTTTCCCAGAAAGATGGAAGTAGTGCATGCAACAGGCCGATTGTCTAGGTTCCGTCCCGCCAGTGGGGAGTCAAGGTTGATAATCCAGGCTTCAGTGATCTGCATATTCATCTGTAGTTCAGGTTTCAGTCTTATTGCAAATCCTGTTACAGCACATTGGCCGTTCTACACCTGTGGGACTTTGTCTGGCTTTGGACGTTCACTGCTCTCCAAGAGTTGTGGCGCAGGTTGTAGGCCGAGACGCCCAGTAAACACTGGACTGCTCTTGATGAATTCTCAAGACACCGACCTGCTTGTTCTCCCGTGCTCCTTGCCGTCGGCCCTGCAGTTGGAGAAGAGCTTTGTTGCGTGGTGGGGTTTTCCACGCTTGAGCTGCCGCCCCGAGGCTCTGGGGTTGCAGGACCTGGTAGAGTCACTGCGGGCGTTCAGCACACATGACACATCCTAGGAAGTTGCCATAAGTATTGCCCTTGGTCTCCAGTGCTTCTCTTGTGTTACCTCTTGGAGTGTTTACCCCAGAGCAAATGGAAGGCTCGTGATGATTCACTTTCCTCCAAATTCTGACTTCTACAAAGGGTCCCATACTTCATGAACTCATAGTAAAGATTTGTGCAGATATATTCTTATTTTAATTTATGGGTTTTTTTCTTTCCCATTCTTATTTAGAGAACAGGATAAAATAATAGCGTTTAGTGAATGTTGCCTGCATGTTTTGTGTGTCTACTCCCCTCCCTGCCCTCTGCTGTTGCAGTGTTTACCAAGGTGGACCATGCCATGAAGGGCAGGGCCTTCCCCTCTGCTGTTGGCCCTTGCTCTGAGGGAGGCCTTCCCTTGCCTGAAGTCTCCACAGACAAGTCCTGTCACATACCAAGTAATTCTTGGTGTCATCTAGTGCCCTGTGTGACGTGGATTTAGTTAGGTATGTATACTGTGCTTTTGCCATCAAAGGTTTTAGGTGGTTTCTTTTTTTTTTTTTAAAGTTTATTTATTTATTTATTTTTATCTTCTTGAGAAGGTAGAGCAGTAGACCGACATATCTTCCATCTGCTGATTCATTCCCCAATGCTGTGGTTTCCGTGGCTGCGCCAGGCTGAAACCAGAAGGCTGACATTCCAGCCACGTTTCCCATTGGAGCACTTGTGCTGTGCTCTGCCTCCCAGGATGCGTTCTCAGAAACGGAATCAGAAATGCGGTAGCTTGTGCTGGTGCTCTCTCTGGTGCCCCGAGTGGCAGCTTCACTTTCTGTGCCAGAATGGCTGCCCTTGCTTTTTAAATTTTAAAAGTGTTCATCTTGATTGTCCTCTGCTCATTATGCCAAAGTTTGTTTTTATTAGAATTATATTAGTAAGCGCTGGCAGCTCCTCCTTGCAGCAGAAACAGGTTGCTTTTCTTAGCTTGCTGGTGGTACCTTTGTGTTTTTAGGAAGTAACTGTAAACAGGGTACCCTGAAAACAGGGTAGGGTGCTTCTTCCTGCCTTCCTCTAACTTTTGAGGGTATTTGAGACCATGCTTAGAAATTTCTTGACCCCACCACTGCCTTCTCTGAGTTAGCCATTGGTTATGGCTTTGTGGACAAGGGGGAAGAATGTGAAGTGGGCTCAAGACATAGCATAGTAAATCATTTCTAGACCCAGAGGGTTTACATTATTAAAGTCATCCCAGAAGTGAAACCTCAGCAGTTGACCCATTCTCACAGACCTGTGTGGTGATAGAGGAAGCTTTGTGATCTGGAAGAACTGTGTGACGTAGAGGAAGCTAAAGGGGAAAACGGACTTGGAAATTACTAAAACTACAGGAGGTTGACTTTGGCTCTTGGTGGCTGATGTAAATCCCAAAGTTTGTTTCTTGCCAGACCCCAGGGTGAATTTCCAAATTCAAATTCTTCCTGGAAGTGATGCCTTGGGAAAGATTGACCCAGCCCTGCACCTGTGCTGCTTGGCGCTCCTGGCTCCTGTGTTGGGTGCCCCATGTTCCTTTGACCTCTGCCTTGATGCTCGGTGCCTCCTCCCTCTCCCCACACACGCCTGGGGCCTGTTGTGCAGGGTGGTGTCTGTTGCCATATCAAAGCCAGGATGTTTCTATTTGTTTGGATGGACTATCAGTATTTTTGCTATCTAACTACTCTATTTTTTTTTTTTTTTTTTGACTTGATGGGGCCCAGTTCACAGTCTGAGGCTGATTTGCCAAACGAGCGACACAGTTGTGCTCAAGATCCTGTGTTAAGGACGGGGTGACTTTTCTAAGACAAGTGAGGGGAACGAGTGTTGTGAGACCAGGTTGGGAGGGGAAATCATATTTTTTGCAATATTTTTGTTTGGTTTTTCTTTTGACATCTCATTTTAACCTTGAATTTTTGCTAGCTTTCTCCTGACGTATAGTTTTTGTTCATCATTTTAGGACTTAATTCTTGCAAAGTTTTTCCAAAGAGGTCAGACCACTTTAATACTAAACGTGACATAAATCTGCAGCCATCTCACTCAGCTGGTGGGTTTTTTATATAACATCTTTAAGTGCTACCATTATATGTTCTGAGGGGTGAATGTAAAATGTACAAAGTATAGAGTTGTTTCTTTTTTTTATGATAATAAACTTTAAAAGAGAAACCCAGTGTGTAGTATGTGTTGTTATCTGCTGACTTAAGAAATGGCTAGAGTTTATTTTAGGTTGTTGGACTTTTGATTTTTGGGGAGATTAAGGTCAAGGAGAGGAAAGGAAATAACTAAACATTTGCCCATCCTTGGGAAGGGTAAAATAGAACAATGTCACAAAGGCCAGTCCTCGGCTGTGGGCAGAGCGGGCATTTACCTCCCCTTTGTTTTTAGATGGTGAAAGATCTAAACCTCAGTGGGTCTGGCATGGAAGCCTAGTGGCTAAAGTCCTCTCTTGCATGTGTCGGGATCCCATTCAGGCACCCCTTCATATCCTGGCTGCCCCGCTTCCCATCCAGCTCCCTGCTTGTGGCCTGGCAGTGCAGTCAAGGACGGCCCAAAGCCTAGGGACCCTGCACCCACGTGGGAGACCTGGAAGAAGCTCCTGGCTCCTGGCTCCTGGCTTTGGATCGGCTCAGCACTGGCTGTTACAGTCACTTGGGGAGTGAATCAGTGCATGGAAGATCTTCCTCTCTGTTTCCTTCTTTCTGTTTATCTGCCCTTCCAATAAAAATAAATACATCTTTTTCAAAAATCTAAACATCAAGTCAATAAAATTGATATGTGGCAGAAGTGTGAAATACGACAAAGATTGAGCATTTTGTTCATTTGACAAGCGGAAAGCCCTGGCTGCTGCTCGCAGTGGGGGCTGTGACCCACTGGTGACACTCGCACCTGTGGGGAAGGACTGCTTTATGCCTTAGGTAACAGGAGGGGTGCTGGTTGGGGTTTCTCGCGCTGACCATGTCCTGGAATGCAGCATTCAGACATGATACCAGGGCCTGCAGGCCCCTTCGGCTTCGTCTCAGTCCTGACTGGCTGGCTCTTTTAAGTTCTCAAGCTGCCAGGTCCTTTCGTCTGTCCAGAAGAGCCAGGTTCCTGACACAGGCCAGGAGCTGCCAGCAACACATGATGTAATTGGGGGCCGAGGGAAGCACAAAGCATATTAAGTCACCCACTCGTCACCTTATTTGTTACTAAGCCATGCAAAGGCTAGCCTTCCTTTTTGCTGATGTTGTCAATGCCAGATATCACACCAGACTCCATTGGAACCATTTTTCATACAATAGTCAAGAAAATCTGGAATGTTGGCTTATTAACGTAGTTAACCTCATCATTGGCTCCATCCTATGAAATTGGATCCTCACTGTGCAGCATTTTACATTGTAAATCCATGTTATCTCAAGGTCGACGTGAAAGAATGTATGAAAGCGGACTGGGGACTGATGGCTCCTGTTCCAGATGCAGCCCTGCTGAGGTTAGTGTGTTTCCTATAGGGCGGCTGCCATGCCCCGTCCCCTGGATGGTGCTGCTGAAAGACGATGGGACCCAGCCCAAGGGCGCGATAACCAAATCTTTAGAAGCACCAGGATGCCATATCCACATCAGTGCCGGTTCATGTTTCAGCTGCTCCACTTCCCATCCAGCTCCCAGCTTGTGGCCTGGGAAAGCCACAGAGGATGACCCAGAGTCTTTGGGACTCTGTAGCCACATTGAAGACTGAAAGACGCTCCTGGTCTTGGATCAGTTCAACTCTGGTCTTTGCAGCTGTTTAAGGCTTTGTGCCGTCCTTCACTGCTTTCCCAGGCCGACCAACAGGGAGCTGGATGGGAAGTGGGGCTGCTGGGATTAGAACCGGTGCCCATATGGGATCCCAGCGCGTTCAAGGCGAGAACTGTAGCTGCTACGCCACTGCGCCAGGCCCAGCTGAGCCAATTTGAAGCCAGAAGCTCGGAACCCCTTCCAGGCCTCTCACAGGTGTAAGGTCCCAAGGCTTTGGGCCGTCCTCCACTGCTTTCCCAGGCCACAGTACATCTTAGGAAAGAGGACTAAAGCCTAATCAAATTAGGGCATTTTGAGCCAGGGGTGGCTGCCTGAGTGATCATCAGGTCGTTGAGGATGTGTCCTCCACAGGTGGTTTTCAGAAGAGGGCTGGTTATGGATGCCCAGGTCAGGCCCAACTGCTGTCTGCTTCCTGGCTTGCCGTGATCCTCTGCACCTGCACTCCACCACTGCCATCCTGCAACCGCACCAGATGCCAGGACCCATGGGGCTTGATCTGAACCATGGACTTGGGAGCTGACTGACAGGTGCCCTTCACTCTGCTGCCATTTCATTAAGAACCAGTTTTCAGAGAAGGGCTCAGACTGCTGTCTTTACAGGATGTTAGGTTTAGTGGCTTTTCCATGGTGATACAGTAAGCAACAGTCTGAATCTTTTGTGTTGCAAGCTAGGCTTTCTGTAACCATTGTATTGTGCACCCTGTCCTTCCCTGCCTTTTTTTTTTTTTTAACCAGTTTTTTAAGACTTATTTTTATTGCAAAGTCAGGTATATATAGAGAGGAGGAGAGACAGAAAGGAAGATCTTCCATGTGTTTATTCACTGCCCAAGTGACTGCAACGGCCGGTGCTGAGCCCATCTGAAGCCAGGAGCCAGGAACTTCTTCCAGGTCTCCCACGTGGGTGCAGGTCCAGAGGCTTTGTGCCGTCCTCCACTGCTTTTCCCAGGCCACAGGCAGGGAACTGGATGGGAAGCAGGATGACCGGGATTAGTACCAGCACCACATGGGATCCCGAGCGCATTCAAGGTGAGGACTTTAGCTGCTAGGCCACAGTGCCGGGCCCTCCTTCCCTGCTTTGTTAAAAGTTTGTGTAACATTCCCTTGAGCTTGTCTGTGAACCTGTTTCCATTAATCTGCTTTCACCTCTTGTTGGTGTGTACTCGTGCGGCCAATGCTAAACACCCCACGAGTTGATGACATTCATTCCTCTTGTGCATAACTGCAAGTGTGTCCCTCGGCAGCTTAGCCAGGAAAGTGGCTGTTCTCTGTTCCTCCTGCTGCCTGTGAGTGATTTGCAGAGGATATAGCCATTTAGGAAGTGGTTTCTGGTCTTGACAGGAGCTCTCACCATTCAGCAGTCTAAGAGCCTTTGGAGGAAAACATGGACCCTCGTTTTTCCAGCTCCCTGCTTTCCCCCCTGTCTTGATGATCTGTGTAGTCATAGAAACAGTGAGCCATTGACCTGGTTTCCGGAACCACAGGTGAAGAGCAGGACACTGTGTGTGCGGGTGTTTCCGAGGTTACAGGACCTTTCCCTGTCATGGTTTGCGCCTGTGGAGTCGTGGTAATGGAAGGCTGCCCCCGATCCGTGCCACCTGCTTCCAGCTGCTCCAGTTCAGTCAGTCACCTGCTTAACAGCCTAACCTGGGTTTGCAGTCTTTGAGGCAAAAATGAAACCCATCTCTGATCTCTTTCCCTGTTGTTCGAAGCAGTCGAGCTCCAGCTTGGTGAGGCCAGACCTTTGTTTCCTTTCCAAAGAATGTGCTTGGAGTGAATGTTTAGTGCCAGATGAGATCCCTATGTCCCATGTCGGAATATCTGGATCTGATTCCCAGCTCTGGCTCATGAGTCCCATTTACCTGCTCAGACACTGGGAAGCGGTAGAGACTGTTCAAGTCATGGGATCCCTACCACTCACATGGGAGACTGGAATGAACTTCCTGGCTTTGTCCTGGCTTGGTCCTACTCGTTGTGAGCCTTTAAGGAATGAACCAGTGGGTGAGGATTTTCTCTTTGCTTCTTCAACAAAAGGAGAGTACTAGATAGAATGAATTAAGAATGCTGGCACCTCTTTGGATGTAATAGCATGGTGAGGAACATGTTCACTCTAGCAACTTTGGTGTTCCAGAATAGATTTTTTTTGAGCAACTCATTAGGACAAAAAATATATTTATAAATATACCTAGGGAAGAAAAGTAAGATTCAGAAGGGGTATCTTGACACTTAGTCCTATTACCCGTTTTCTCTCTTCTGTGCTTGTTAGATTACCTGAGAGATAAAGATCTAGAAAATTGCAAAATTCCCTTTATTGATTTGCCAAGTCCAATAACCAGATTCTAGTACTCACTCCCCTGTATTCTCAGAAGTTGCAGAGCCAACAGCACGTGTATATTTCTGGAGGCATGCTCCCCTCTCTGTGGGGATGGTGTGTGTGGGGGCAGGTGGTCCAAGGAGGTAGCATTCCAACAACAGCTTAGCAAGTAGGAAAGAAAAAGAGCTGTTTCAGGAAGGAGCGAGCGGATACAGAAGACAGGAGTATGGTGACCCCTGCCTAGCAAGCCCCCACAGATAGTTAAGAACCCCCTGCATTTTACCACGGATGGAAATAGGCTTGTTGAATTGCAGGTGGCGTTGTGGCTTGGAGTAAAAGGTTTTGGAAGCAAGATTTCAGCCTGATTTTAATGTCTAACCAGGTTAGTGTGACCCTGGACAATTTAGTTTCTTTGAACTTCAGTTTTTTTTCATCTCTTAAATAAATACTTCAAGGAAATTTTTGAGTATTTTGATAATCTGTTTGAGAGTACCTGAAAAATTTGCAAAAATGGAATTAAAAGTTTAATTTACTTTGGTGCAAAAAATTTTGAAGTCCTTGTGTACAAGGGATCTTTTTTTTTTAAATTTTAAAAAAATTTTTTTTTAAAGATTTATTTTTATTATTTTTTAATTGGAAAGGCGGATATACAGAGAGGAGAGACAGAGAGGAAGATCTTCCGTGCGATGATTCACTCCCCGAGTGAGCGCAACGGGCCGATACTATGCCGATCCGAAGCCAGGAGCCTCTTCCGGGTCTCCCACGTGGGTGCAGGGTCCCAAAGCTTTGGGCCGTCCTCGACTGCTTTCCCGGGCCCCAGGCAGGGAGCTGGAAGGGAAGCGGGGCTGCCGGGATTAGAACCGGCGCCCATATGGGATCCCGGGCGTGCAGGACCTTTAACCACTTGCACCACCGCGCTGGGCCCTGTACAAGGGATCTTTAGAAACTTTATGGGAAGTGTCTATTATGAAAACCTGCATAGATTTTTAAAAAATTTTGCACCAAAATAATTTTTTTAAAGATTTTTTTTTTAAATTGTAAAGGCAGAGTTAGAAAGAGATCTTCTGTCTGCTGGTTCAGTC